TTGTAGATCAACACGGCCGTTGGCTGTCGACACCAACAGATTTTTTATAGCTATTCGAATATATTAGAATATATAAATTCTTATATTTTTTAATTGAAAAATTATTTTCATCTGATAATACTGAAATTGTCAGATCTAAGCCCTGTAGCTTAACTAATATATAGGAAATATACAATAATATATGGAAAATTATAAATGAGATTTTAAAAAAGATAAGATTTGACATGACATCTCCTGCATGAGATTGGTTACGAATATCAATAGGAAATTTTTTACTAATGGAGAAGTATGAGAGAAAAATTAAGTGATAACAAAAGGTAAGTGAATATGTTTAATGGTCACATTATATTCAATGATGTTATACTCTGATCTGTAGTAGTTCTTAGGAACTTTGATATTGAAAATATAAATTTCACAATTTATATTTTAATTATTATAAAAAATACTCAGGTCTGCAAATTTGTATTATTGTTATGAACGGTTTTCGCTTTGAAACCTAAAGATCTAAAATACTCTCTGAGAAAAATTTTAGTATTGAGCCTACTTAACCGAGTTTTAATTCTTCGACTGATACAATATACCTTAAAAAAATTTTTTGATTTAAATTCTTTATTCTAGAAAAATACACACATATAATATAATTTTTCCTTTTAATTTTAACAGTATTTGGAAGCTTCTTTTCTTATTACTGCGGCTAATACTATTTTTTATAAAAAAGTAGTTTATATCACTTTAGAATATTTAGCACAAGCAATTAATTTTATGACACATTTTATAATCAGTTGGATTTATTTTTAAATCACTCTTAAATATTTTATAGTACTTTGTAAATAGTTCTCATTGTGTTCAAAAGTTCAGCTGGAATACAGAACTATAACATACTGCACCTCACAGCTGATTGACTTATCAATGCTTATCTGTCGGCGATTAGAATTGTGTACATTTTTAATTAACTGTTTTTATTAATAAAGCAAAAACTTATCTTGATTAGTTTTTATGGGTACAACAACAAAAATATAAACAAACGATCACAAACATTCTATATACACATGGGCGCAACCTAGAATCGGGTCAGGGAGGCCATATTTTAAAAATTTTCCTTTATAAACACTGACGAGTATAACAAGAAAAAAAAATTAAAATCAAATATTATATTATATGATATATATATATATATTACATGATGTGATTTTATTATATCATTTATCTATTGCTATATACACGTCCTTACTTTCGTCAGTGAAATATAATGCATCCATCATATTTAGGGTGTATTATATTAAGGCCGCCTTCTCTTTATGAAGTATAATGAAATGTTTATTTGAGTGTATCGTTAGACAGATTAGATAGATTGAAAGAACTATCAACTTTGCCTACGCCCATGTATATTTATATTACATATATATACATGTAGTGAACTTTAAAACAGTTTATAATGGAGATGGAAAATTTTTTTAATAGATATGTTTGTGGAAATTAAATTACTATATATTTTATACTTAAACTAAACAAAGAAAATAAAAACATCTAGGCTTAATTAAGTTAGGTTCACATATACTGATAATCCCAGAGATCTCCTTAGACGGATGCTTGGCATAGTTAAAAATGCTATTTAAAACGAGGTCTTGATCCTTTAAAAAGTGAGTTCATGCAGATTAATGGTGTTTATTTTATCTTCTTTACAATTAGACAATGACGAAACAGACTTGAGGCACTGCCCACATCTTTTTCAAAACTGGAACAGAAACCATTTAACAGAAGATTTAATTTTTAAGCACGGTTGCGATACATCAATAAACTTACTACGAAAATAATAGCTTTACGGGGCATCTTATTCAGATTGCTAGATTTCATCTTAATAAAATGGAATCAACTTGATACCTGAATATCGTTAAATCCGCTAGTTTTATATTAAATTGCTCAATAAAGAAAGATTTCATCAACAATATTCATAATGCTAGTATTATGAAACAGTAAATGAGACAGCCCGCATTACAACTGCCTGCAACGGTGTCAATATCTTGTTCAAAAGTGTATAGCAGTCAAAAACCGTCGTAAATGTAAATTGGACTTAAATCAAGGACTATAAAAGCAATTGTCTGTCTAATAAAGTGTATATATTTTTATGTAATAGAATTCACATTACAAAACAAACTCTAAGTTTCTTTTTTAGTAACCGAATATATCTGAAAAACATTGCAGTGATCAGGAAGCCTATAATACAGATATATAAAACGTTTTCAAACTAGAGACCTTCCGACAGCTAAGTCACTAAATGGAAATAATTAGTAGATGTACTTAATATTTCCGAAAGTAGAACTGAAAAGATTAAAAATAGAATTGTGGCCACACTATATTTTTCATAAATCTATGTAAAGAAATTTTCAGAAACTGTGAAGTTGTGGAATGGAAATCCCGCAGATAGGTTAGAGTCCTATCAAAGGAATTTTAGTACCCATTTTTGTATATTTCAGAAAAGTTCCATACATAATTATTTATTCACTAAACGTCATAATGATAATTATAGCTACCAAGTTCAATTAAATATATTATACATTCCTCTAAATTCTTAAAATAAAGCGGATAAATAATTTATCTTTTACTAAATATAATAAAGTAACTGATAACTTTATTTAACTAATATAAGAGGTATTTCTATATTTAGAAATTAATTTGAAAAATGAGATAAAAATTAGAACTGTAAGGCATCAATCGACTGTTGGGAACTCACTTGTATAAAAGTATATTCTTATGGTCTCCTAATCTGGGTTTTTTTTATCTAAAGTAATTTACACTAATTTATAATGTAAATGTTTTATAAACTGTAATAAACAGAAACTTTTTTTAAAATTTTAAAAAGATAATATATGTAAAATAAAAAAACCATTCAATTAAAAGTAAACAAACACATGAAGAATATATAATAAATTAATACATATTATACAATAAAAAAATTAAAATTATAGAGAACGAGAAGGTATATGATAAAAAGGAGGAATACTATATGAGAGTACGAATGCTCACCCACACCCAATTAAGTCAGCCATATAGAAAATATATTTAATAAAAATTTTAACAATAACACAGAAGCATATAAAACAATAATAATTTTAAATTGTTATGCAGCATTCCCTACGTCTACCTATGTATCGGGTCTACAGTAAATATATATCGTCTTAAAATTCCTCCCCAATATCATTTTGTTTTAAATTTAATTATCAAGTATTTGCATTTTCTGAAGTAAAATTAAAAACGTAAATGCATTTATTTGCATAATGAAAACGCAGCACGAAAATTTTATGGCAGTGCGTTGCACTTTACTAAAAATATAGGGTTTTTGTTTTGAAGTTTAAAATTATAAATGTTAGTAAATGTGCGCTTTCAGCAAAGAAAACGATGCACTTTTGACGATCTTTTGAACATTAAATTTTCTCAAATTATTTGTGTTTTAATTTTCATTATTTCTGCTTTTAAATTAAAAGTATGTATAAACCTATATGTGAAAAGTTATCTTAAAACTAATTATTTTCAATACCGTTAGAATATGTAATGTGAAATTTAAGAAAACTTCTTCAGTCTCACTTCTTACCGATTGCCTATATACAGAGATTTATTTAATAAATCCCTTATTAAAGGGTTACTCGTACCATCAATTTATTTATTTTCTTTGTAATTTTATAAAGCTACTGATATAAATTTCTAATACCTCTTCGGGATTCTCCATTAATTGTGGCACTACTCTTTGTTAGTGTAGGGTTTGATTTATATAATAAATTTCTTATAAAAAGATTACTTGTATTATCAACCAATTTATTTTCTTTAAAAATTGTATAAAGCTACTGATATAAATTTCTAATAGCTCTTCGGGATCCTCAGGATAGGGTTCTCCATGAATTGTGGCACTATTCTTTGTTTGTGTAGAGTTTGATTTATTTAATGAATTTCTTATAAAAGGTTCACACGTACCATCAATTAATTTATTTTCTTCGAAAATTGTATAAATCTTCTGATAAACATTTCTCATAACTTATAGGGATCCTCAAGATGGGGTTTTTTATATATTGTAGGACTACTCTCTGTTTATGAAAACAGCTTAATAATATAATCACTGCCTTTTGTTAGATATCGAAAGATATTGAGTTTTAATCTACTGTGCGTTTCTGTTTTCAAGAGAATAGCCTCAAATTAAATAGTGCTTATTATTAACTTTAATAGAAATAATATATAAAAAATGAAAATTCTGGGCATGAGTTTTGAAAATTTTTAAATTTCACGATTAATATTAGTACTTAAATATAAACAATTTTAATTGTTTAAGCAATTTCTTAAAAACTCATTCAATTATCTTTAAAACGCAGCAAATTTCAAGTTCCTACCGTTAATAGAGCCTGAGATATAGCCATTTAAAAATGTGTCTACAATGTGAATTCTCAAAACCCATGGGTCCTAGGAATAAAACTTACAACATTTTCTCCTGAGATACGGGTCTTTTTATTTTCTGAAAATAGCGATATCAGAGATCTTGAGGTCAAAAAGTTGTGCGATTTGTAAAAGAAACTGTTTTAATTCTAGGGAAAGTTTTTTTTTAATATACATATCTTTGCTACGCTACCCTAATCCCTGCAAAACATATAAAATGAATTAAATAAAATAAATGAAAATGTAATAAAACGATTAAAATCCCAGAAAAAAGTATGTTCACACACGATATGACGTCAACGGCAAATATTTTTGGTTAAGTGCAGAATAATGAACTCGTTATAAAATTTTTTATTGGGTATAAAGAATCAAATACGAGATTTTTGCACATTTCGTATGTCGAGTTTTCGTTTGCACTCAGAAATTCTTTCTGTTATGCGCGACATTATCGGCAAAATAAAAATCTAAACGAACTGCTTTTACTTTTTTTTAATTTATAATTTCAACTTTGAACACTTCAGATTAATTTCGGTTGAAAATATCACATATACAAATGAAATATCATATGATCACACACTAACCTGACATGAAATGCAACAAAATCGATGTAATTGGATACAATACTGGACTGTAGGTTATATCAGGGCAATCATAACCCAAAACATTAACAATGCGATCAGCGACAGCGCGTCCTGTGCGCGTTAAATGATACGGCAAGCAATGACCGGCATCAACAAAAGCCGGTAGCATAATAGGTTTCTCCGATAATTCTGTAGTGCCAAAAACCTATTAAATAAAAGTTTTAAAGTTTTAAAGTAGTGCAGTTGTTGTTGTTATTGTTTTTTTGTAACAAATAGATTTACAAAGCCTTTACCTGATGTACCATTTCCCAGTAGAAGCCGTCCAACATATTTGGCTTGGTCTGATGTTGAGCACACAATGCCGGCCATAATTGAGAGCGTATAGGAGAGTTAATAGGCCAAGAATTTTCTCGGAGTATATTTTTCACCTCACGTTTTTTGCCCTGTTGTAGAAGCTGTTGAATTTCAGTGAAAGAACGTAGGGCAGGTTCTTTGCCTGGAATGAGAGAAAACATATATCAAACAGGTTATATTTAATATGTTCTCCAAATAACAACAAACAAAATAAACAATAAATTATTAACAACACACATTAAAGCAAAACAAATAAACATAAAAATATACCAGTATTAGCAGAGATAAATAAAACAAAAATAAATATTAACTAAATTTAAATAAATAGAATTCAAAAAAAAATTAAAATTAATTCTACAAATGTTCGAGTCAGTATTTGCACGTACGACGGACGATCAGAAGTTTACTTTACTTGGGATAGGTCGTTCATTGCTACTCTGCTCATTAATGCTAGATACCGAGAGATTGTAAACAAGGTTAGGAGTCGTAGCTGAAGCTAGTTTTGAGTGTTTAAACACAATTTTTATTGCAAATGTTTAGTCGCTAAAAGAACTGTGTTTGCAGACGGTATGCAATCAGTGCATATAAAGTATGTTAAGTAAAAACATTGCCTATGAACTGATAACAGAGTACCCTACCTTAACTTATCAATAGACTGATATTTAATCCATATGAATACTTTTATTTTGTGGCTATTTTAGGACTGTGAGGAATGGACTTGACTGCGAACGGACTACACTGAGTCTCATTGTAAACAATTCATTATGATAAAAGTACTTAATTACAACTTTGATTGTAATTAAGATAACCGTTTTAAAGTGGTAAAGTACATAAATGAATGAAAAAAAAAATAATTGTACTTTTAATAAATTAATAAGCATTAAATACATTTTTTATCAGAAAAATTAATGGAAAATCACAAAATATTATTAGTTTTCAAGTAAATAGCATTGTTTAAACAATTTATTTTATTGTTTTGTCAATGACTTAAAAAAAAGAAAAAATTCTAGTTTTGACGCAGGCCCACATTTATATAGGTCATCCACTTTTATATGAGTGATGCTATATATATGAGAAATATTTATATATACAAAGTTGATAAAAATGTGTAAACCATTAAGATTGCAAGAAATTAATAAAAATCTGACGAATTACTAGAAATATTACAGACTGGACTTTACGATATCGTGCACAGACTATTTATATATAATCCATGCGTAGTATAGAGAATGCTCAAAATATTTTTTTATCCACAAAATATTATTAATATAGGTCGTTCTTTTATTTACACTTAATAGAATTTTTTAGGTAGTCATACAGTTGTTTGGAGTATTGCTAAATACTTATTATCAATGGTCTTTGGCATTATTTGTTGATTCATATATCGTATATTGTCCATATATAATTGTTGGACTGCAAATGCCATATTTAGAATTTTGAAGCTGTCATATTAGAAACAATGACTTCGCTTGTATTAACCAAACGTGTCAAAGCTGGATAAAATTTTTGACATAATTGGCTTTACGAATTAAATACAATATATTTTATTTTAAAATTTATAAATTTTAGTTTAAAATAGAAATCTTTTTACAACCTTCTTTCATAAACAATTTTAAGGTTTTTTTTTCCAATTTAATTTTAAAGTCCTTTGAACATCTCATAGTCAATGCGATTATTATTATAATATTCAAAATTTTTAATAATTACTTTTTTACTTGATCGATTACTTTATTTTTTACTATATATACACATTTTTTATAAATATTGTGCTATATCTTTTATCTGATTGAGATCAGATATGACGAAACACTTTCTATAAGAGTTGTTTATAGTTACTATAAACGAATTAAAAATTTAAGGAATTATATCAGTCAGACAGATATATTTTAAATAAAATAATTAAAGCTAACAGAGTGATATATCAGTCAGATATATTATTATTGTTAGGGGATGTGGCACTGCGTCTTTTGTGTCCCCTTCTAGGTTTAGAGTAGGTCTCTAAGCACTGTTGCGTCAATAAGCAGTAATATAGAACCTTTACAGAGTTTTATTGCCTCTTTCAAAAGATAATACATTCCCAGGAGCCTATTCCGTATGTGCAATAGCGCAGGGCATTCTAATAGCACATGTGTGGCTAAATCCTCATTCACTTCACTGAATCTACAGTTTGCATAGCCAGTCTCCTAAGGTGGTATTTTAGTTAACAGTTCCCTGTTAGGATTCCTGTGATGATTCTAAGTTTTTCTTTTGATAAGTTCATGCAATCCTGCTATCGCTTATTGTTATAGACACCAATAAATGATTTGAATTGTTTTTTTCCTGGTATATTATTCCAGTGACCCTTTTTATTTTAGTTCTCCTTTATTTTTATGAGAGAAAGGAGCGTACTATATCCTAGTCTACCAAAAGTTCCGGCCCCATCATCGGTGTGGCTACCCCTTCCCTGGTTAGTTTGTCCGCGTATTCGTATATTTTAAGTAAAATAATTAAAGAGGCAGAGTGACATATTAGTCAGACAGATATATTTTAAGTAAAATAATTTAACAGACTGATATATCTGTTATGTATATAATATAATATAAATATATGATATAAATATGTTATATATGATATAATTATATACTAAATGATATAATTTAAAAGCTGAATTATATAAAGACAGAAAAACTTAAAAGTCAATTTTAATTAATTCAAGACAATATCATATAGCAAGGCTTATGCCTTGCTCAAAATCTTGGTTTTGAGTAAATACATCTATGTATTATTAAATTGCTGCAAATATCGTATGTAACCTAAAGCGAGATTATTTTACCTACTAATTATACAAGTAGCTTGGTATAAACCAAATATCGATTATCAAGTGTAGCATTGTATGTAGAGCAATAAAAAAAATGAAGAAATCAAACTCAAAAATCGATTAAATATATTAGACAGAATTGATATTACCTAGTTGAGAATAATTTAATAATAGAAACGTATAAAAAATAAAGTTTCATCAATGACTATATCGAAATATTAAACAGACTTAAATTGATAGAAACAACATTTAAAATATAGAACATAAATAAGAAATCGTAATAATTTTAACAAATTAACACTAAATAAAAATAAACATAGCAAATGAATTAACAAAACTCCAGAAAAATGTACGAACATAAATGTTAACTACGTCAAAACCGTAGTTTTGACTACCGTCAGTTGGTTAAGGTGCGCTGACTCTGAGCTTCAAATTTGGCAGGGCACATGTTAGATTTTTCGTACTTATAGTCTCAAAAAATTATTTAAGAACAATTAAATACAAAAATTATTTCCCAGACTACTGATGATGGGTATTTGGCAATACTCGAAACAGCTGTGTGGTCAGCCAAAAATTTAATTAATTAAAATAATATAAAAAGAATTTTTGTTGTTGTAGTTGACAATTTTTTAAAAACCTTTTTAAAAAATTTAATAATATTTTATTTCCATTTACGTAGGAACTCTACAAGTATTTGTTATATATCATTATTGACATTTTGTCACTGTTTTATTTTTAATAAATTTTTTTTTTATTCCTAATTTTTGCTTTTTCATAATTATTTGGACTTGAGATTTACGTTTTGCCTTTCTTTCGCTCTTAAAGTATATTAAATATACAATTTTTTTTTTATTTTTCTTCAGTATTTTAGTTAAATTGATTACATGATTACGTCGATTTAGTTTATTGACTGCTGATCGATTGGTAATTTTTTTTTTTTTTTGAAAATATTTATAACAAATTGAATTTATTATGTAAACAACTTCAATTTGATACAGTTTTCACTAAACGGAATGATAAAAGCAAGAAAAGATAGCAAAAACTGATTAAACAGCAAAATTCAGGGTAGAAGAGCTATTATACATGATTGATCATTTTGGGATTAGATAAAATATCATGACGAAAATTACCGGTCATTCAGTTATCAAAAATGGGTTTCTCGGACAGTTAATGCAATAATTCGATAACGGAAATGCCTACAACAAGACTTCAATAATGCAATACATAAATGTTTTTTTATTTATAATTATTATAATATTTATGTATGTATTTGTATGTATTTTAATGTAATTTATACATATTGCTATTTATTAAAATATATAATCATAACATACATATATATTATACTTATGTATTAAAAACGGACTAGTTATATATAAAATCTATGAATTTTCAATATAAAATAAGAAGATAACAGAATTATGTATAATAGTGATATAAACTTTAAGTTATTCATATGTAATAAATACATTTGCTGAAATTTTAAACCCTACACAGGGGATTACTCTTAAACCCAAGAAATCTTTTTATAAAATTGCTTATATATTTAATATATAATCGTAAACAAAAGCTATATTGAAATTTAATATATAATTATATATTTATATATATATATATATACAATAATAATTTTAAACCTATAGAAGAACACCTAAAGTAGTTTTGATAACGATCCTTTTTTTAATCATGTTTTGAAATGATAAAAATACAAATGTATGTCAATTATTTGTAAATACAATGAAAAAAAAATAAAAAAAGATAATTAAATTAAAAAGGCAATGTAAGAAAAATAAACATGTTAAAAATTATTAATTTTGTTATAATATTAATAACAAAGAGCTACAATATTCAATATACTCGATATGTTTACAGAAAAACTTTTCTAGAAGAGCGTAATAACTCTACAACCATTTAAAATGAACCTCTACATTGCAAGTCACTGTAATTAATAAACTATATATATTATAAAAATATTATAAATTATATATACACGTTCACAATTCTCGATGACCCACTGCTTCTCCAATTATATTTTTCTAAGCGTTTCTATCGAGCGAATCTCTTCTACATCGACTTTCTATTTTTTCGTAATCTTTTTTTTTTTTGTACTGTTGTCTAATAGGTCCCATATATACACACTGCTACTAGACATTCTAATAACATGCCCCAAGCTAAGCATACGTTAAAATATCGTCATTAATCAGATCTTTAAAAATCCACATTAAATTTTTAATCATACAATTTCGTATTCTTTAAAATAAAACAAAAAAATAAATAATTTTATAACAATCTATAGAAATAATTGATTTTTTGTTTAAGTTATTGACTTCAACTGAACAGAAAAT